AATTTTATTTTCTACATAAACTGTTTTTCATCATGTTTTGTTTAAATTTACTGCTAAAAGCTTTAATGTTAGAATCAAATTAAATTTAAAATTTATTCATCATTTCTGCAGCTTCACTCAGTTCAGATTTTTAGATTTTAAAAAACATTTTAAGCAAATTATAAAACAGTTGATTGAACATTTTTATTTAAATTTCCTTAGAGTATTTTGATTTAATTTTAATATTTGGACTTTAATTTGTAACTTGGAAACAATAAATGTTTGTCCTGATAAACATTGTGTTTAAAACACAAAAAATAAATAAAAAAAAGATTCTTGGCATTATATTTAAACACTAAAATGAAAATGTTGAAATTAAAGTTAAGTTTTTTTTTCTTCTGGACCTGGTTGAGAAAGACCTCGACGACCCTCAGGAGGGAGAGGAGGGCGAGGATCTTCCTGTGAGTTCAGATCATAGAAACAGAGAAAATCACTGCAGTTTCAGACCGGAGTTTGTCTGAGAAAACTAAACAAATGACAAATAAACAAAAATAAACAAAAACAAATATCAAAATAACAAATAAACAAAAACAAATAAACAAACCTACAGAGTAATTAGTGAAACCAGCTGAAACATGAGAAATAAAACGTTTTGTTTGAAGGATTCTGAGTTTTTAACTGAAGAAACTTTAAATTCAGAAGTGAAAGAATTTGATCTGATCCGGTTTGAGATGTTCTGCCGGTCGGGCAGAACCCACAGAACCTCCCTCAGCCCTTCACAATAAGAGTCTGAAACATAAACCCTGATCCTGTAAAGATTAAATCGACAGCTCACATAAATATTATTTTATTTTTGTTGTTATAAAAGTCTCTTCAGTCTGAGCTGCGTGTTCTGATGTGTGAAATTAAAACGTTTGACTTTATTCTTTACTAGAATCTCAGAAACAAAAACTAATTTGATTTATTTGTTTCCTGAGTGACTTTAAATCATTTCAAATGTTCACAGCTGCAGCTGAGCAGCTGCAGAAGATCATTTCTCTATCAGCAGGTCAGCGGGTCGTTGGTTCTGAAGAACCGTGGTTTCGGGTCGTTGGTTCTGAAGAACCGTGGTTTCGGGTCGTTGGTTCTGAAGAACCGTGGTTTCGGGTCGTTGGTTCTGAAGAACCGGGTCAAACAAACAGAGGCTCACTTCGGTTTAATAAAACTATATTTTAATGAAAGATCAAAGGTTACATCTCATCTCATCAACATAGAAAAGCTGAAAAACTGTTTGTGAACAAAAGTCTGAGAGCTGCAGGTGGACCTGGTGGACCTGGTGGACCTGGTGGACCTGATGGAGCCAGGGTCCAGACAGACCAGGTGGTCCAGGTCTACACCTTGGTCATGCCTCTCTTCAGTTCGTGCAGCTCCGTGTGGTTCTGGGCTCGGGGTCTGCAGTCCCGGCCCCCCGCCTCGCTCTGACGCAGCATCTTCTGCTGTAATGTGCTGAAGGCAGAGCCCCCGTGGGGGGGCCCCAGGGGCCCGAGGCTCGAGTACCCGGACACGAAGGGGGAGGCGTAGTAAAGGTGGTGTGGCAGGGCGGGGCCGAAGGACAGCGAGCTCCGCCCCCCGCTCTGTGATGAGTCACTACTTCCTGTGCTCCGGTCCGCAGACGTGGCCATCTCAGCCAGGGACCACAGTTTGGGTTTCGGGGCCGGGTTCGGCCCCCGGGTGGCACCGCACGAGTCCACGTGTCCCTTAGAGGGCGAGCCCGACAACGAGGTGCACCCAGACCCCAGAGGCCCGCTTCGACGAGTAGACCCAGGACCGGGGATGTGGGCCAGCCTCCGGTCCCCTGAGTCCAGATCTGCGGGACCCTGATTCGTACCCGTGTGGTCCCGGAACACCAGCTGACAGGAGGCTGAGGAGAGAAGAACCGGGTCAGGACAGAACCGAACAACAAACATGTCCAACAGATTTCAGACTTTTTTACTGATAAATAAATAAATAAATAATTAAATAAATAAATAAATAAATTTTAAAATCAGGTTTTTAATTTGTTGAATTGGTTTAAAGATTTGAAACTAAAAACTATTTTAAAATCCTGCTCCTGTCTGTTTCTCTTCAGATTATCTGACCCAGTCCGGCCCGGCCCGGTCCGGTCCGAAGAAGAATCCTGAGTTTTATAAAAAAATCTGTTCCGTCCCTGCAGGTCCCTGACCTCCGGCAGGTCCCTGACCTCCTGCTCCATACATCCTGCTGTCTTTGGGTCCAAATGACCCGGTTTTAAACTTGAAGTCTTGACACATTTGGACCCGTGGACCAGGACGAACCTGGACCTGCCGGGTCCAGCAGAAAGACTCACCGCTCTCCCTCCTCAGCTCCTCCTCCTCGTCCTCCTCGTTGCGCTCCAGGTCGATGTTGTCCTCCTCCTCCTCGTCCTCGCTCCGGTTCCGGGGGGTCCAGGTCATCTTGTTCTCCTTCTTGAGCCGGCGCCGGGCGTTGGCGAACCAGGTGGAGACCTGGGTCAGGGTCATCTTGGTGATGATGGCCAGCATGATCTTCTCGCCCTTGGTGGGGTACGGGTTCTTCCTGTGCTCGCTCAGCCAGGCCTTCAGCGTGGCCGTGGCGTCCCGCGTGGCGCTCTTCCTGTGGGCGGGGTCTCCGTAGGCGTAGGGCCCTAGGGGCCCGAACGGGTGGTAGTCCAAGGACCCGGAGACGGCCGAGGATGGGTCGAAGCCCGGACTCTGGAACAGAAAGATCTCGTTAATTCTCCGTCAGCAGAACCTCCTGGTTCTGGTTGAGTTCAGCCCGTTTCCTCTGCTGAGCTGAAAGTTCTGGTTCTGGTTCTGGTTCTGAGCTCATCACATGAAGGTCAGATTAAAGCAGTTTAAAATAATCTGTTTTCAGGAACAGATTATTGAACCTTCATTCAGGGGTGTCACTAGGTTTTAAGGACAAGGGGGGCTTAGCCCCCATATATGAATAAAACACACACACTATACAAATATAT